TCGTCATCCTGGTCGTCATCCTGGTCGTCATCCAGGTTATCATCCAGGTCATCATCCAGGTCGTCATCCAAGTCATCTTCATCTTCCTCGTCATCCTGGTCGTCATCCTGTTCATCTTCGTCGTCTTGCTGCTCGCTTTGCCCTGCGGTCGACGAGACTCCGTCATCCGACTGATCATCACTATCCAGACCGAGGAGCGACAGACCTGACGGCGGCAGAAGGAATCGCGGACGCGTGCCACCGCCATCGGTCTTCGTGGCGAGGTACCTCGCTTTGGGACCCAAATTACGCCTATGCAGTGGTGCGGCGGAATGCACAGTGACGTCGGACGTGATGCCTGCGGTAAAGATGTAGGGCAGCGTCGGATGGATGAGCGCCGTGTTGACGATGCTCTGGCCGCCGCCGAGCACGTAGGAAAAGCGATCCAGTTTGGCGGGGCGCACGATTCTGTCCGCGCGAAGGATGGAGCCGCTGCAGTAGGCAACTTCCGAGTCGTGGTCCACCTCACCCTCGCCGTCAATGTCCGAGTCGCTATCGCTCTCGTCGGATCCAAAGGCCTCAGCTTCACTGCCTGGTCTCTGTGGGGACGCTTTGGTCTCTGATTTGAGGCCCTGAGGCTTGAGTGCCGGTGCACGCTGCTTATGCAGCTGCGAGGTCTCGCGAAGCCATTCCTTGCGACTGACGAACTCGCGGCGCAGCTTGAGATCTTCGACGGGCGGGATGCGGAAGATGTAGGCTCGAAAGTCGTCGCTTCCAATGGCATAATGTAGATCGCCTGTCTGCTGCCCGAGACCAAACGAGCCGTGCTTGATGGTGCAGCACGACGAGAGCTTCTTGGGTGCGGCGGGAGTGCCCGGTGCCACGCCGGCATATCTGTACTCGTGCGGTTTGACATGGTCCTCTACGATGGAGGACTCAAGCGTGGCGAGAGGATCTGGATCGTTGATGGCGTAGATGGTGGGATGGTAGCGGGAGACGCTCGATGCGAGGAAGCGACCCGAGGGGTCGAAACAGATGCTGTTGGTCTCGGCTGCAGCGGCGATGAGGCCTCGTGAGCACGAGTTCTGCATGAGCGACGTGTGGTAGTTGAGCACGGCATCTTTGCTGGAGAGTGGCCGGTCTGGATCGGAAGAGAAGCACTGGCGTACGTCGTAAAGACGCGTGCTGCCGGTGATGCGACCGCACGTGGCGGCAGCAAAGGTGTTGCCATCCGATTCGTTGGGATTCCACTGCACGGACGAGAAGCCGGCGATGGCGTCGGATCGAGTGGCAGAGACACGCTCGTGAGGTAGGCGGATGTCGATGAGGTTGAGATTGCCGGCGTCGTCGCAGCTGAGCAGCAGGTTGGGATTGGTGGGGTGAGCCGAGATCTCGGGCACCGAATCGTCATGGCCACCGATTGGGCCCTGATTGAGGGGACTGCGTGCTTCGGGCCCTTTCTCGACGTATGAACGCAGAGGCAGGCTGGAATGCTCGATGTCGTAATAGAGGATCTGGCTGTCGTTGCCGGTGGAAAAGAGGTACTTGTTTTGCGCTGCCCACGAGATGGAAAAGATGTTGGAATGATGACCGTGCAGGCTGACGATGGGCGTAACAGGGTCATCATTGCTGTCGATGTTGAGAAAGAGGTCGCGAACGTGTATGTCGCAGTCGTCGCCTCCACTGGCAAGCCAGCGACCCTGACCTCGCGAGATGGCGAGAGCGTTGACGCAAGAGGTGTGGCCCCGGAGATGGCGACGGATATGGAATCGCTCCTTTTCGATGTTATGCTGAAGGGCCGAGCTACGGTGCGCTACGACCTGGCCTATCGATCGCGAGGATGCTCCCAAAGGGACGCGGCCCCATTTTTCGTCGGCGACGAAGGAGAGTCCCGAGCGTGGGAGAGATAGAGAACCGAGGCGGGATGGAAGCGTTTCAGCGTCGTCGAGATCAATACGAGCATGTGCCTCTACCGGCCTGTCATCCATGGGCTGAGCAGCATGGTCGGAGCTGCCGCGCTTGCGCTTGAAGGTGGGCATGGCCGTGGTGTCGTGTCATCCACCAGCGTGGATGGCGACCCGACTCGAGGAAGCGCTCGGATGTCGACACGTCATCACCGTGTCGTAGTCAGTCAAGCGGGTCGTGATTGATATCAAGACAAGTGGCAGAGCAACATTTCCCGTCACAGCTGTGGCAGCAGGCGACTGAGCATGTCGTGAGAATGTGATGAGCGTCGAATGATGTGACTGAGTGATGGAGAGCGAGCTGCGGCTAACCTTGCGTCGGCAGTTCCGATTCCCGACTTCTCCGCGGGCGCAGCAAAATCAAGGCACAAGGGAGAATGCCAGCCAGGTCCGGCTCAGAGGGTGAGAGGACGCGAAGAGGAAAACGTGCGTCCGGCGATGACCCGACGGCAAGAGAGCGCTTCGAACCGTCAGCAGCAGCGAGGGGGAAAAAAAGAAGCCGGCTAGAGTCCGATCAATGCGCCGCGGCGCGCCATCCATCCGAACGTGACTCCGTCTCGAGACGGCTTGGCTCTGCACTGCATGCCGCTTCCACCGCCGTTTGTCTCTTTGTCATCACCTCATCGGCTCATCCGACCCGATTCTCACGCTTTGTAATTGCTAGACTCAGAGGCGCAAGGAAACGGACATCCGCATCGTCTCGGTATCGACTGCGATCGAGGCGCATGTGCGGCAAAACAGCCTGCACATCGGATCGGTGACTAGGCAGCACTGACTCGACGCATCAAAGTTTGTCCGGAGCGACCGTCTGTCGTCGGCTTCTCCTTGCCGCTTCCGCTTCCGCTGCTGCCGCTGCTGCTGCTGTTCGAGTGACTCGCAGTGCGCCATCATGGACTCTTCCGCTCACGCCGATCCGCGCCACGTCAAGCGGAAACGATCCGCTTCGCCGTCGAGCTCGTCCAGTCGACCTTCGCAGACGACGCCGCTGCCGCACTTTCACGACCTCGGTGGCGCAAAACAGCCGCGCCATGCGCATCCGCATCTGCACTCGCAGCACTCCCATCTGCACTCGCATGCGACATCCCGCCCGGCGGACGACTCTGATCCGTACGCGCGCTCGCTCCATGCCCGTTCGCGCTCCACCACCCAGTCGCAACAGCAGCAGCATCATTCTGACTCGGAACGCGACGAACACGACATCGACGCTGCTGCGCATTCCCCACGCCAAGCACGCTCTCCCTATGCCACCAGCGACCTGCGCGGTTCGCCCTCGACGACCCATGTAGATTCGCTCGCTTCGCCGTCCATCCGGCCGCTCTCCAACATCAGTCACCGTCCGGTTGTGTCGTCGTCGTCGTCGTCGATCTCCATCAACGGTGTCGCTACCACCAACTCTTCATCGCGCTATCTTGCACAGCACCATCATGGCTCGACTCACAGTCTGAACGCATCCTCTGCGCGCCACGAAGACGCCCCCTCGCCCTCGTCTTCGCACTCCTATCGACCCCGTTCGCCACTGCAGTACTCCTCTCGGGCCGGATCCCACCCGACTGTGACTCACGCCTCACCCAGCATCCCTTCAAAGCCTCTCTCTGCAGCTACTGCCACCGAGTCGTCTCATCTCGCTGATCTCGAAAACGACCTCGCCTCCATCACGTCTCCGCAGCAGCGCGCTTCATCGAGCGCCACGCCACAAACGCCCCTCACATCCGCTCGCAAGATGGACGCCCAAGCCTCCTTGAGAGACGAGCATGCGCGGACGTCTGTGTCGGCTGGTCCGTCTGCCACCTCGTCTCCCGTCGTCAAGAAGGAGCAATCGACGCCGTCGGAGAAGCCGCGCGGGGGTCAGGCGTGTCTCGAGTGTCGGCTGGCAAAGGTTCGCTGTCTGCCCTCGGACGAGTCGGAAAACTGTCAGCGCTGCCACCGCTTCAACTTTGAGTGCCTTTTCGTCCAGCACAAGCGCGGCAGAAAGCCAAAAAGCAAGCTCCAGGGCCGCGACCTCACGCTGCTCGCAGAAGCCGCCTACGCCACCAACGCATCGCCCGTACAGACCGATCGTCCGGCAGCGCGCAAATCTGCTTCGACTTCCAATCTGATCACCTCGGCGCCTTCCGCTACAGCTGCAGCTGCTGCTGCTGCGGCTCCAGCACCGTCGGCCGCTTCGCCCGGAGTGCGATGGAGCAACGCTCCCGACGATTCCTTTCCAGCGGCTCCCCATTCTCGCGACTATGCCGAGCGCGGCCGACGCTCGACGATCCACAACAGCATGGATCTAGACAACGAAACGAGACGTGACGCCTCCCCGGCCTCCACCTACTTTCCCAAACGCTCCTCCTCGGCATTTGCACCGCATGCCGACACGCGGGCAGCGCTTGAGCCAAAGAATCTCTTTGGCGTCGATGTTGGCCGCATGACCCAGGCCATGCAGCAGGCCATGCGCTCATTAGAGAGGAGGCGCGGCGCCCCCTATACACTCGTGACCAACAACGAGATCTCCAGCGTAGACAATGGCGACGACGACAGCAGCGACATGGGTGCCACACCCCCGGCTCCTGGCGCGGCCACGGCTGCTGACACGAACGCGGTCAACGAGAGCTTCGAGCTAATCGCCGAACAGCCACTTACGCTGCGTGTCATGCTCAAGCCGTTCGAGGTGTCGGACCAGCCCGACTGCGAGACGCCGCGCATCCTGTCGGACGACCGCAATCCGCTCGCCTCGCAGCCATCGCAGCCATCGCAGCCCCAGCTCAACGACCCCATCACCCAGGGCATCCTCTCCGAGCCCGCCGCTCGCGCGTTGTTCGATCTGTTCATGCACCATTGCAACGCATGGAGCGGCGTCTTTGACCCGTCGCTGCACACGCACGACTTTGTACGCAAGCGCTCCTCGTTCCTCTACACCGTGTTGCTCTACGTCGGCGCAAGGCACTCGCGGCGGCCGGCGGCACACCATCTCATCGTGCGCGAGAAGCGCGGCGAGTCGATCGCCGAAGCCGACTGGGATCTGGCCTATGCCGATCCGCTCGTCGACCGCTCGGCGGCTGCGGCGGACGAATACGCTCTGCAGATTCGGCGCCGCATCCACGAGCAGGCACGCGAGCACGCCGCACGCGCGTTTGTCGACGGCGACCGCACCGTGCTGTGCTGCCAGGCCTTCTTCATCCTGGCGAGCTGGAAGCCGCTCGATGACGGCCTGAGTGTAATCCAGGTAGGCTACGCGTTCCGGCTGGCCATGGACATCCAGCTGCACGCCGAGATGCCCAACTGCGTCAAGCCGAGCGACTCGAACCTCGACGCGGCGGGGCGGCAGCGGTACGAGGCGGTGCAGCGGCGTTTCCGCAACCGGCAGCGCACGTTCCTCATGCTGTTTGTGCAGGACAAGTCGCAGCAGATCTCGAACAAGATCACGACGCACTCGATCTCGTCGGACAACGTGCTGATCCGGAGATGCCAGACGTGGTGGCGCCATCCGGGCTCCATCCCGACGGATGCGTTTGTGTGCGCCTCGGCCGACATCCGGCGTATCCAGGGCAAGTACGTCGAGCTGTACGACCGCATCGAGGCGCTCACCTCGGCCACCTCGGACGGGCCGAGCATCATGATGCCTGCGTTCCTGTCCGATCTGTTCGAGTGGAATGCGCGCTGGCACGAGGCGCTCGGGCTGCGCGAGGATGCAGACGAGGATGTGCATAGCGACGACGTGGCCGCGTACCACCGACGGTGCCAGCGCCTGTGTCTGCAGCTGTGGAAGGACAATGTCAAGACGTACGTGTCGTCGCTCGTGCTCAAGTCGAGCCTCAAGCAGGCGGCGCTGCAGGAGCACCAGGAGATCGTGCGCAACCACCACCGCCGCTCCGCCACGCGCGGCACCGAGGACCGCGACTCGGTGTCCGGCAAGTCGCACCTTTCGAGTGGGCTCGAGCCGGGCATGGTGAATCTCATGGCGATGCCCGCATTCTGGCCGTGCGTCGAGGGTGCACGGGGTGTGCTGGAGGCCGTGTGCGCCTTCCCACCCGAGCGGCTGCAGTGCGCACCGGACGCGACGATCATGCAGACGACGCATGCGGCGGTGCTGCTGTGCAGCCTGGCGACGGTCAAGTCGCAGCCGCCGCTGGGCACGGGCTATCTGCGCTCCAACATCCAGCTGATCGACCAGACCAGCGCCGCGTTCCGCCGCGCGAGCATCACGCAGGAGGACACGGTGCTGCACATTGCAATGTACCTCGAGTCGCTCCTGCGCCCCAAGAATGCGCAGCCGCGCCACAGCGCCGTCGCCACCAACGGCAAGACGGGGGCGCCATGTGTGCAGACCGGTGCGTCGGCCGCGGGAGCAGCGGGCACGGTGGGTGCGCAGCTGCACCAGCATGGCTCGGCCATGGGCAGTGCGCCGGCTGACACGCTGCACGGTGGTGGCCCCGCCACGAGCGGTGCGACGCCGCTCAACGGGGCCGCACTGGGCGCGTCGGGGATGGGCAACTTTGCGCAGTTTACCAACTTTACGCTCATGTCGAACAACACCGACATGTTTTACTCGGGCACCAACGGTGGCGGCGTCGGCGGCGGCAATGGGCGGTGGCTCAACGGCGCACCTGGCGCACCGGCTCAGGATGGCAACCTGTTCTTCAACGGCACGGGCAGCTTTGACCGCGAGGGGCTGGACGCGATTGCGTCGGCGGCAGCGGCGGCGGCAGCGGCGCAGAACATCGAGGAGGGCAATGCGGCGCCGATCGACATGGCGGGCTGGTCGTCGGCCATGGGACCGAGCGGGGCGGCGCAGACTGCCGTAGCTGCGCCGTGGAACAGCCTCATGTTTGGCGCGACCCACGGCGGGGGTGTGGGCGAGGGCTACCCGAACGCTGCGGCGGTGTTCAACGCGCCCAACACGCAGGCCACGCCCAACTCGCGCGAACAGGCCGACGAGACGCTGCGCATGCTGTTGCGCTTTCTGGATGGCTAGGTGCGCTTCACTTTGGAATGGAAAATCGAGCATTGACACTGGGATGCGGGGGAGGGG